TCACCTCCAGTTTCAGGATCCGTTCTTACCTGCCACTGTTTCCAGTGACACTCAGGAAACAGACGCAGCGTCCAGGGTATTGTCACCTTGCCCCATACATTGTTTTCACCGTGTGAGATTTTTCCTTATTGTTATAGGACTTTGATAGGAATGGTGTGGCTGAAGGATGATAATCAAGTTTTGTTTTGTATTTCCCTCTTAATCAAATTAAACACTGCCTTCTGCCTCTGCCATTTCGTTTACGCTAATTAGTGGCTTAGCATTAGAGTCGGGATCACTTTAACCCAGATAATCACGGCTTGATTGGTGCCCTGCGGATGGATGTGTTTCTGAGTGGGGTTTTCTTCTCCCCGGTGGAGACCCTGGTGCTGTGGAGCCTCCACCGTCTCTCAGGAAGTGGCCCTCGAGGGAGGCCGCTATTCACGCTCTCCTCTCACTAACAGTCCAGGTTGAGGTGACCGCCACCCAGCAGAAAGGATGGCAGAAAGGATGAGGGGATAGGTGTAGAGTCCACCCCGTGTTCTCAAGGTAACAGCCTTGCTTTTGTGACGGCTTAATGCTTTCTCTAGTCATCTTGAGGAAAACAAGGAGCGTTCACCGCAGACTGGCTTACATTCATCAGGGATACAGTTTGAGACACAGACACACACGTCTGCAAAACAGAATGGAAACTTTGAGTTGATGGTGACATCTTGCCATCCTGAAGCTACTTCTTTTTAATCTAAGTATTTTATTTAAATTCAGTTTGCCAGCATACAGTCTAACACCCAGTGCTCATCCCATCGAGTGCCCCCCTCAGTGCCCGTCACGCAGTCACCCCATCCCCCGCCCACCTCCCCTTCTGCAACCCTTTGTGTGTTACTATGTTCTCTCTGAACATATATCATCAAAATGTAGAACCTTTCATCACACTTTATACTCTTACTGTGAAAATAAATTAAAAGCACGGAACTAGGGACGCTTGGGTGGCTCAGTGGTCGAGGGTCTGTCTTTGACCCAGGGCATGACCCCGGTGTCCTGGGATCAAGTCCCGCATCAGGCTCCCTGCAGGGAGCCTGCTTCTCCCTCTTCCTCTGTCTCTGTGTCTCTCTCTTGTCTCTCATGAATAAATAAAATCTTTTTTTTTAAAAAGAAGGAATTAATGAAATTTCACAACCGTGTATCTGATAGGTTCCTAGAAAGTTCTTGAAAGTAAATGTTGACTTCTCCAGCCATAGTATGACAAGTCCTTTCTTAAGTGATTAATTCTAATTGGAAGAATAATAAAAATTTCTGTATCACAGAAGTAGGATGTTTTGTAGTTATTTGGTTAAAAAGTAAGTAGCAAACGGTAAATTTAAAAAGAGGAAAAAGTGGGTACCTGAATGACTCAGTCGGTAGAGTATGTGCTCTTGATCTTGGGATCATGAGTTCAAGCCCCATGTTAGGTATAGAGTTGACTTAATAAAAAAAAGAATTTAAGTGGGGGAAAGACCCAAAAAAGCAATTCACTAAAAACGGTATAAAGAGAGCCCTTACACCTATGAAAAAATGTTTGAACTCATAATTAGAGAAATGCAAATCGAAAACAAAACAGACGCTATACCCAGAGAAATCCGCATTACTTGGTGTGAATGTGGTAAGAGCACTTAACACGAGATACAGCCTCTAAGCAAAATGCTGAGTGTGTAAGGCAGCACCGTTAGCTGTGGGCGCTAGACTTGTTCGTCCAGTATAACCAAGTCTTTGCACCGTTTCACTAATTCCTCCCTGTTTCACGCTCCCCAAGCCGTTCTCCCCTCTGAAACCACCATTCTACTCTCTGCTCCTAGGTATTTGACTGTTCTAGATTCCTCATTTAAGTGAGGTCATATGGTGTTTGTCCTTCTGTGTCTGGAGTATTTCGCTCAGCATGACATCCTCTAGACTTAACCATGCTGTTGAAAATGGCGTGATTTCCTTCCTTTTTAAGGCTGAAAAATACTCCATTGTTTATAGACATTGTATTTTCTTGATCCATTCATTCATCTGTTGATGGACATATAGGTTGATTCCATGTCTTAGCTATTGTAAATAATGGTGCAGTGACCATGGCAATGCAGATATCTCGGAGATTCTGATTTCAGCTCCTCCAGGCGTATATTCAGATGTGGGATTGCTGGAGCATATGGTACTTCTATTTTTTTTTTGGGGAGGGGGGAACCTCCATACTGTTTACTATAGTGGCTGTAGCAACTTGCATTCTCACCAACAGTATACAAGAACTTCTCTTTTCCCTACAACTTCAATAAAACTTACCTTTTTATATATATATATATATATATATATATATATATATATATATATATATACATATATATATATATATGTAATAGCCATCCTAATAGGTGTGAGACGATAGCTCATTGTGGTTTTGATTTATATTTGAAAATCAAATTGTGATTAATGATGTTGAGGACCTTTCCATATAGCTGTTGGCCATTTGTAGGGCTTCTTCAGAGAAATATCCATTCAGGTCTTTGCCCGACTTTTAATCAGATGATTTGGGGTTCTCATGCTGTTGAGTTGTAGGAGTTCTTTATACACTGTGGATATTAATCCTTTATTAGTTCAACTTCTTGCAAATATTTTCTCCCATTCCATAAGTTGCCTTTTCATTTTGTTGATGGATTTTCTTTGCCATGCAGAAGCTTTTTCGTTTGATGTAGCCCTTTTGATGTATTTTTGCTTTTGTTTGTGTTTTTTAGGTCATGTTCAAGAAAATCCTGGATAATGGTTTCTTATGATCTTTTTTATTCCTGTGGTATTGGTTGTAATGTCATTTCATTTATTATTTATTCAAATTTTCTGTCTTTTTATTAGTCAAAAGTTTTGTTGATAGTATTTGTTAAGAAACTTAACTCTTAGTTTCATTGATCTCTTCTATTGTTTTGTATTCTCCATTTCATTTATTTAAGCTCTAATCTTAATTATGTTCTTTCTTCTCCTAACTTCAAACTTAGTCTGTCCTTCTTTTTCTAGTTTCTTGAGGTGTAACAGGAGGTTGTTGTGAGATCTTTTTTCTTTTTTAATATGAATGTTTATTGCTATAAATTTCCTTCTTAGTGCTGCTTTTACTGCAACCCATAAATGTTGGTATGTTGTGTTTTCATTTTTGTTTATCTCAATCCTATCCAGGTTTGGGAGGTTTTCAACCACTATTTTTTTAAATAAGCTTTCTTCCCCTTTCCCTTTCATTCTTTTATTGTTGTTGTTTCTCTGACCAGATAACTTCAAATTACTTGTCTTTGAGTTCATTGATTCTTTCTTCTTGATCAATTCTGTTGAAGCTCTTCATTCAATTTTTCAGTCATTGTTCTTCAGTTCCAGAATATTTGTTCAGTTACTTTCATGGTTTCTGTCCCTTTGTTGAACTTCTCATTTTTTAAAATACTGTTTAACTGATTTTATTTAGTTGTCCATATGTGTTCTTTTGTAGTTCATCGAGCTTCTTTGAGACAATATTTTTGTATTCTTTCAGGGACTTTACAGATCTCTATTTCTTCGGGGTTGGTCACTTGAGCTTTTTTTTTTTTTTTTAAGATTTTATTTATTGATTTGAGAGAGGGAGAGCACAAGCAGGGGGAGCAGCAGAGGAAGAAGGAGAAGCAGATCCATGCTGAGTGTGGAGCCCAACATGAGACTTGTTCCCAGGACCTTGAGATCATGACCCGAGCCCTAGTCAGACACATAACTGGCTAAGCCACCCAGGGGCACCACTGGAGCTTTATTTTGTTCTTTTGATGGTTATCATATTTCTTTGATCCTTATGGTCCTTAGACTTGTGTTGGTGTCTGCACATTTGAAGAAGCAGTCATCTCTTGTAGTCTTTACAGACTGGCTTTCTCAGGGAAAACCCTTTACCAGTCAGCCCACCAAGAAATTCTTGGTGGGCTGGTTAGTAGGGTTTATGGGCCCACTGGCTGGCAGGGACCATGGGAAATCAGGCCTTCTGCTAGATTCCATGGGCAGATGGTATTGGTGCTGTGATCCATCATCAGACCACATTGTTTTCAAGAACTATCTAAAAAGTAAATATTATTTTCACTCATCTAAAGATTTTTTTAAGGTGATTATTGCCATTACCTAAAAGGCATTAGAAAATGTCTTGCTGAGTATAAAGTAATAAACAGAACATATACAGACTTGTTCTTTCTTGTGTTTACAGTCTAAGAGGCAGAAATTAAAATATTCACATATATGGTCATATATGTAATGCCAAGACTTGGGAAATTAATATGCTAAGCATCAGAGAGACTATGTAAGACTAAATCAGACTACCTACCTACCAGAGTACCTACCTAATTTACAGGAGAGGGTCAAGAAATCTCTCTATGAAAGTGTATTTGAGACCTGAGATTTATTTTTTAAAGTACTACAAATAAAAAGCAATATTTTTCAAACGTGAGAAGAAATTTTATACACAAATTTTAGATAAGCAAATGTGGCATTGAATAAAATAAAAAATCTAAAATAGAATAAAAATGCAAAATGATGGGATCCCTGGGTGGCTCAGCGGTTTAGCGCTGCCTTCAGCCCAGCCAGGGTGTGATGGAGTCCTGGGATCGAGTCCCTCGTCGGGCTCCCTGCATGGAGCCGGCTTCTCCCTCTGCCTGTGTCTCTGCCTCTCTCTCTCTCTCTCTCTCTCTCTGTGTGTGTCTATCATGAATAAATAAATAAAATCTTTAAAAAAATGCAAAATGACTTTTACTGCTTTATTTTAAAAATATATGTTTACTTTAGAACATTTGAAAAATATATAAAATAAAATTTTTGTATCTCATTATTTAAGCATAATGACTATGATGTTTTATGTATTTCTAATATCTCTTTTTTCTGTAAGAAATATTCTAAAATGTGATACCCTATTGTACAACATTCTACTACAATTTCACTTTCCGTGACATGTTTTCAAGTGGCACAATATTTGTGTGTATTTCTAAGAAGTCATCTAATTTCACATTATTTTTATCCTCTCACAGGCATTTGCTTGGTGGCCTGATTTATTGGCAGAGCATGCAGAGAAATTTTGGGCTTTATTCACAGTGGATATGGATACCGCACTGGAAGCCCAACCACAAGACTCCTGGGATAGTTTTCCTCTTTTCCAACTGCTCAACAATTTCCTCCGAAATGACAGTAAGCACGTGGGTTTTCTTCAGTATGTGTAGTGGGGCCGGGGGGTTGGGGGGAGGATGGAGAGAATGTGTGTGTGAATGTGTATTTACAGAGCTCTCTCACTCACCAGCAAGATTGCCAGAGTTCATTAGTGTTTGCTCAGTCTCCCTGACTCTTTCAGGCCTGGTTCTGGGGGAAACCAGGAACATGCCCACATGGCTCCACTGGCCTCTGAGGTTCCTCTTATTTCTACCCTCCTGCGTTTATCAGGAACTGGTAACACAGGCATCTTTCCCATTGCACCTTGTGAATCAGAAATCTTCAAAGGTTAGCATTTCTAAAGCTCTTGAGAATACCTGTGTTTCTGAAAGACCCCTCAGAAATGTGTCATTATTCTAGAAATTCATGTTGTGTTAAGGTTTCTACTAATACGCATTCTGATAATACTGTTTGTCTAAGAGGGATTCACTTCCCTGGATGATGCTGTAATATGCCACGTGGTATGGGTTGCTCTCGCTCTGTATTAAGAAATTTAAGAGAATGTAAAGGTCCTCTATTGAGACATTTCTTTTCAACGCAATAGTAATGTTCACAAATTTTCTGGTGCACGGTCTTCCAGCAGCCCCAACAAACCGAGTTTTATATCAGGACTTTAGAAGGACATTTCTTAACGTAGGTTCCTAGCTTTTCCTATGAGGACTCTTGAAACGTTTCCCTTAAACCCAACTTTGGTCACTGCCGACCGCTTTGCTTTACCACTTGCAGAGACCAGAGTTACCAGTTACCTGTTGTACACAGTTCTTCCCTTTACGAACCAGTTTAGTCTCTGCCTCTTCCTGCGCTCTGGATCTGACTTGTTCTACATGATGGATGTAACAGTCTTTTATATGGTGTGTTTTCTTCTCCGAGCCGTTGCTGCGAAGTCACTCAGTTCTTCTTCACATGATAGGGTTTCTGTGCCCATTACCGTCTTATCACCTTCCCCTGCCCAGACCTCACTCCATTTTTCAGTATTGCTCTGGGGTACGGTGCTGTGAAGAACACAGTGTGACCTGAGTAACCCAGACCCCCCGGAGAGGTGCCCTTCCTGTGCCCCATCTTTCTGCAGCTCCTGCTGCTCTGACTCACCAGGGAACATAGTCACCCTGTGATACGTTTCAAACTTGCTGCATTTTAGCGCTCCAGAGCTGTTTGCTGTTCTCCTGCCAGGGCACTACTACTGTGTACTTTTAGGCATAAACTTAAATCCATATTTTTACATTTGTCTTGGTTTTTTAAAAAATTCCTTTTTTTTTTTTTTTTTTTTTTTTGGTTTTGTTTGTTGCTCAACTCCATTATTTCTTACCTTTCTTTGGTTGTTCATCCCTTTGAGTCTCTGATAAAACTAGTACTGTTTTACTGAGGGGGAAAGAATTCACATTAATATGAAATTTTGTTTAGTATTGAACCTCCCTATGGACATCAGATTTAGGATAGCAGGTTAAGAACCTCTGTTATAGTAAGAGGGGCATCATTTTTAGTAACTGATAACATGGACTTGGATACCAGACAGATTCACATCTGTCTCCGCCACTTGCAGCTTGACCTTTGACAAGAGCTTAACCCTCTGCAGACTTTAGGTTCTTCACCTATAAAGGAGGGAAATGCTGGTCCCTACAGCATCATTGGTGGCAAGGATGAATCGGAGCTCACATAGGGTGGATACAAAATAAGTATTATAGATGTTAGAGTATGAAAATTTCAGTCTTGACTCTTTCAACCAATTTCATCTCCAGAAGATCCTGTTAGAAAGCCAAAGTACTAAGCTACATTTCCTGCTTGATATTTCACCAGCGTCTACTCTCAGAAGTTCCTAACCTCACACTGAATTATCTGTATGTGAATCATCCATCTACAGACAATCCCCCAGCCAGCTTTTAAGCCCTACTTTGCTTTTCTCCTGCCAGCTAGAAGACTTCAAATGACCTTCTTCTCTTCCCAGTCTTTTAGCATCATTCATCTTCTGCTAAGAAATTTTAACTCAGGTTTAATATTATTTTAAGACAATAAACCTGTGCTAAAAATAAATACATATATTATGCACCAAGTCCCTAACTGAAAGTAAGTAAGCAAAGGTGTATCTCTAGCATTACTTTCTCCATTTGTATGAAAACTCCAGATTTGACCATATTTAGATTTGTTTGGGAGTGGCATTTATTAATGTTCATAAACAGTAAAGATAATGAATCATCCAACTTATTCAACATATCAGAATTTATTTATGGAGAAAACAAGTGTAGACCTCTTAGAAATTTTTTTGGGGGGGTGGCCTCTACTGCAACTCCAATGAGTTAGCACCCTTTAATATTTATTTTTAAGAAGAGTTCTTAACATTACAGGTGCAAATTTTAATGAGCGTTATATCAACAAGAACACTAAGGTGAAGGGCCCGTCTCTGGGGGGCCATCGCGGGGAGGGTTCCCTCTTCTCCTCGGCCAGGTTAGCCCTGGAGGATCATTGCTGGGGCTGCCGCGAGCTGGCGGCTTTGTTGTCCTGCCCCGGTCATCCGTAGTTGCTGGGAGCGCCCACTTGGTCTGTGCCAGGCCTTCCCCCTCGGGTGGGAAGGCGGCGCTGGGCAGAGGCCTGGCTCTTCTTGGAGAGTGCCAGGCCCGAGGCACCCATGTGGCTGCAGGCTCTGGGAGTCGCTGGCCTCCTGCCCGCTGCCCAGACACACAGGGGCACGGGGCAGCCGGGAGCAGGTGCTGGACAAGAGGCAGCGCGTCTAGGCCATCAGCCGCGGCCAGCTGCACAGCTCCAGCTCCCTGCCCTGTGCGCGGGAGGTTTTCTGGGCAGAGGTGCCTACGCCCAGCAGCTGACACCATGGTGCCTTAGAAAGGTCTTCAAGTTCTAACAGGTTTTCTTCACCTACGAAAGTTCTAAAATCAACTTACTTTGTTCTAAAAGCAATGAACCACTTTCTGTGGGATTGTAGGGGGAAAAAACCCACAAAAACGAGAACAGAAGAAATTTAATTTTTAGCCAGACTTGCAGATATTTAACTCAAAAGAGTTGCGTACTCCCTCTCCTGTTTTAAACTATTTCTATAACGTTGGCTACTGGTAAATGCATAGAGTACAGTTTCGTGGTTTTCAGTTAAAACAAGGAAGCATCTATTACTGATCTCTTTTGAGCATTGTCAGTTTGGGGGTAAGTCCAGATCTTGGCTTTGATTTTGCGGTGATTAACGGATTTGAGAAAACATCAATTATTTCGGAGAAAAACAGCTCCTCCATGTAGTGAGGTAAATAGAAAAGTTCCCCAGTGCCATAATTGCCTTTTGGTATTGGGAGTACAGTAGAGTCTGGGGAATTGAAATAGAATGTATTGACTTTCATCTCAAACTCACAAGTTACTACCCAGAGCCAAGACCACTGAGTGTCTTAATAATTGGTAAAACTTACTCCTTTTTTGCTATTAATATCATTCTTGATCATAACGAAGACATGATTAAGAATTTATGTTTTACTAAATTCCTGAAATATTCAGATGGTGACTTAGTGAATTTCAATCCAAATGTTAAATGTCAGCCTATCACTGTTCCCATATTAGCTTTTGGAAAGCTTTAGGAAGACATAAGACTTCTATCCTTTTAATCCCACCTTAAAAGAAAGAGACTTCCATCACTGCCGTGGCCTGACAGCTTTTACCACATCGACCCAATTAACATTATACCCCAAATTCTAATTAATTACGACTTTAGCCAAGAGTAATAGAAACAGACTGCTCTGAAATGTCCAGTCTTGGAAGGGGAAATAATTTGCTAAATGACAGTATTTGCTGTTACCTCAACATACGGTGCACAACTAATTATATAGCATAGATTTTAAGTGGTTGTGATCTATAATAATATCACATGTTTATGTTTGCTCTTCCAAAATAACAATTTCTAACACATCTCCGAGTACTTGGAGGTATTGGTCAGAATTTTCGCTTTATTTGTGCCTTGAAAACTTGGTAGCCGAGTTGTTTGGGGTTTTGTTTTTTGAGGGCTCATTCAGATGTCCCCACTGCTTGCTTACCACCTTTCTTTTACTAAAATCTTTATGCTTTGATATTTTAAAATAGGTGTTTATTTTTTTGAAAAGTGGACAGGATTGTAGACAGAGCTCTTCATTTTCCAGCGGAGGAAACTCAATCCCAAGAGGCAGTGTGCCCGGGGAAGGAGCTTGCTCATGGGCATCACGGACAGAGCTGGCTGGGGGCCTCCTCGCTTGGTCTCCCGCTCAGTCTGGGTCTGCACGGACAAAAGCAGGTTCCGGAGACATTTGTAAAATAACAGAATCCTTTAAAGGAAAATAGAAAAATTCCTTGAAGTTTTATTTTTACCTTAGAAGATTCTCATAAGGTCCTGGCATCGTTGGGGGGGGGGGGGTGGAGAGGGCCAAAGGGTATAGAAGGAACCAGACAATGGCATATATTGTCCTATCACACATGTGACAAAATGTCCATGGTGAGAAGGCCAGAGACTCGACCCATGAGCTGGGGGCAAGACCCAAGACCGCAAATCCAGTTCCTGTATTAAGGAGAAGAAAATTCTGTCGGGGACAGGCGTCTCTCCTTAAAGTTGGGCGTGATTAGGGAGAGTCTTAGCCGTAAGAACCCTTGGAGATGAACTGTGGTTTTTCCTCCAGGGAAGAGTACCAGCTGCACCCTAATTTTAGCAACTGTCCCCAATCTCCTGCCCCTCACAGACTCACCCACTGATTCCCAGAGCAGAACTGATTATGAAAACAAACTCGGGCGCCTGCATTTTCTGCCCAGAAGACACTGAGCTCCTGCTCGTCCCTCCAGCCTACCTCCGTCCACCCCGGTCACCCCCCCAACGAAAGAGATGATTAAATGGGTAATCGCTTTAAACGGTATCTAAGGAAACAGTCTTGAGAAAGAGGTGTATTAAAATTGAGGCAAAATAAATGTTTTCATAATGAAGCAATTAGCATGATAGTTAAGTGATGCTGTGCGCCCGTCAGGCTGGTACAAAT